GTCGACTAGCGAAGGCCTGGTTCAACAACAAGGGATTCCACGCGGTACCGGCGTTTGTGAACGCTATCAACAACGCCGTGCTGCGGGCGAACCTGCCGGCGTCGGCTGGAGACCCGGCGGGATACGGTGAGTGGGGGAAGGAGGGCGAGAGGGAAGGAGCTAGAGATAAAGAGGCTATTTGAGGAGGATGAGTGGCGTGCCAGGGGCTTTTATACCTCTCAACACTTCAACAGTGCTGTCTACTTACCCAACGGCCAACATATCTCTCCTCTGGTCAGGGTCAGTTATCTGAAATGTGGAAATATGTCAACTCCTGTCGTGGACCAGCACCCCGAGTCCCGACTGAGCCCATATCTGTCTCTTTCCTCTCTTCAGGTATCACGTGTGTGAACCACCCGCTGCCACGTACGAGTACCTTCTTCCTGGAGGAGCAGATTCGCCAGGGAACGGACGTGCTGATCGCACTAATGGTGCTGGTGGCTCAGAGCTTCGTACCGGCCTCGCTGGTACTGGCTCTGGTGCAGGAGCGGCGGCGACGCACCAAGCATTTACAGCTGCTCTGTGGGCTGGACGGCACCGTCTACTGGCTGGCCAACTACTGCTGGGACCTGGTCAGTGGCAGAGGGGTACACAGACAGACAGACAGACAGACAGACTGTGTGGGCTGGACGGCACCGTCTACTGGCTGGCCAACTACTGCTGGGACCTGGTTAGTGACAGAGGGGTACACACAGACAGACAGACAGACTTTGTGGGCTGGACGGCTCCGTGTACTGGCTGGCCAACTACTGCTGGGACCTGGTCAGTGGCAGTGGGGGGTACACACATACAGACAGACTGTGTGGGCTGGACGGCACCGTGTACTGGCTTGCCAACTACTGCTGGGACCTGGTCAGTGGCAGAGGGGGTACACACATACAGACAGACTGTGTGGGCTGGACGGCACCGTGTACTGGCTGGCCAACTACTGCTGGGACCTGGTCAGTGACAGAGGGGGTAGCACACAGACAGACACACAGACAGACAGACTCTGTGGGCTGGACGGCACCGTGTACTGGCTGGCCAACTACTGCTGGGACCTGGTTAGTGACAGAGGGGTACACAGACAGACACACACACACAGACAGACTGTGTGGGCTGGACGGCACCGTGTACTGGCTGGCCAACTACTGCTGGGACCTGGTTAGTGACAGAGGGGTACACAGACAGACACACACACACAGACAGACTGTGTGGGCTGGACCGCACCGTGTACTGGCTGGCCAACTACTGCTGGGACCTGGTCAGTGGCAGAAGGGGGAAATACACAGACAGACACACATACAGACAGACTGTGTGGGCTGGACGGCACCGTCTACTGGCTGGCCAACTACTGCTGGGACCTGGTCAGTGGCAGTGGGGGTAGCACACAGACACACATACAGACAGACTGTGTGGGCTGGACGGCACCGTCTACTGGCTGGCCAATTACTGCTGGGACCTGGTCAGTGACAGAGTGACAATGATCAGATTCACAGACACACAGACAGACAGACAGACAGACAGACTCTGTGGGCTGGGCGGCACCGTCTACTGGCTGGCCAACTACTGCTGGGACCTGGTCAGTGGCAGTGGGGGTAGCGCACAGACAGACACACAGACAGACAGACAGACTGTGTGGGCTGGACGGCACCGTGTGCTGGCTGGCCAACTACTGCTGGGACCTGGTCAGTGGCAGAGGGGGTTATATACACACAGACACACAGACAGACAGACTGTGTGGGCTGGACGGCACCGTGTACTGGCTGGCCAACTACTGCTGGGACCTGGTTAGTGACAGAGGGGGTACACAGACAGACACACACACACAGACAGACTGTGTGGGCTGGACCGCACCGTGTACTGGCTGGCCAACTACTGCTGGGACCTGGTTAGTGACAGAGGGGTACACAGACAGACACACACACACAGACAGACTGTGTGGGCTGGACGGCACCGTGTACTGGCTGGCCAACTACTGCTGGGACCTGGTTAGTGACAGAGGGGTACACACAGACAGACAGACAGACTGTGTGGGCTGGACGGCACCGTGTACTGGCTGGCCAACTACTGCTGGGACCTGGTCAGTGGCAGTGGGGGTAGCACACAGACAGACACACAGACAGACAGACTGTGTGGGCTGGACGGCACCGTGTACTGGCTGGCCAATTACTGCTGGGACCTGGTCAGTGGCAGAAGGGGAAATACACAGTGATTCAGGCTGGCAGTTACGTTGTTGAACCGCCCAGTGCTCCCACAGACACAGCGATAGGCACATACGCACACAATTGTAGACAGGCAACCTATGGGCGCAAAATAACCATGTAGTCAGCGCGCTCTAGAGCCTCAATAAACAAACAAGCTGCTGAATGCTGATGCTGGCTAAGAACATTTGTTAACCATACTGACCGTACTTTGTTATTGTCAAAACGCTACTTAGGAGTTAAAAACATTTTCTCGTAATCTAGCATTGCGTCTTTACTGTTAAGGATAATGAACCTTGAATGACGCAAAGGTGGAAACCTATCCCCTTGAAATGAAGTTTTTTGCACCGGCGATCAAAATCTGTAACGGCCTGACACTGACATCGACCCAGCCAGGGAAAGGCCAGGATGGCTGCGCGGCTCACGGCTCCACCATGGGTTACCGCCGCGTTTGACGTGCCGAGGCCGGGTCTGCCATCGGTCCCGGAGCTAGTAACTGTCAGAGCCACGGTGGAAGGGGAGGGTGGGGGTGTCACTGCGCTGCCGGCGGGTCACTGTTCGGTGAATCCGATCACCGTATACCGATCAGGGTCACTGCGTGACGTTCGCTGACCATCTGTCACCGATGACCTCTATTTCGTCAATTTAGGGGGTATGGGGGGTTAAACTGGAGGTAATAGGTCACCACCAATGTGTGGCACCGCTAAATGAAAATCATGGGCGTTGAACTGTGTAGGATTGGCGGAGTCATGATCAGCGTCAGCATGCTCATGAATTTTTCCCGCTTTTACGAGAACACCAACCATCAGTCAGCCTAATTGAACATTGTACTTATTTGAACATTGCACTTACTTATTTGCACTTAGTCAGCCTAATTGAACATCGCACTTATTGAAAGTATAAAGTCCCATTTTAGCATATAGTCAGAAGTACCATTAACAGAGAGCCATCACAACAATACTACAACCGAACCAGCACCGGCATTGCAGGCACATGTTCGCTTGAACTATCAGATTCGGCTCTGACAGAAGCGGTGGGGATGTGATTGACGTGTCATTTGAAGTCGCACGTGCCATTTCTGGCTAGTCGGGTGCTGGCTGCTGCAATAGATTACTTTGAAACGGCTATTCCTAAATTCTTTCCTCATCTTGTATTTAATTTGCCAAGTTATATTATGTGTAAAATGATGGCTGACTAAACGTAACCATAAAAACTAATATCAAAACGTTATTTTAGTGATGTGATTTTTGCGATAAATGTCCCTATGATATTGTAATAATTCCGCTTTCTAATCGCTACCGACTACATATAGGCTGTTCGATTAAGAGAAAATGAAGTCAAATTGGTATGGTTCGATGTTTGGTACTTTGCCTTTGGCTGACTACACTGCGCAGTTGGCACAGCTTATCATCCGCGCCGTGAGTGTTTGTACCGTACCGTAGCTCGGTATCTAGGACTGTGTCTCATCCTTACCGCACCTCAGTATTTTTATAATACCCTGGTAATTATTCGTACCTGTGACATATCCCTCTCCCCGCCTGTCCTTCATACCGTACCCTGCCTGTGCCAGTCCCAAATGCATTACGTCGCGTTACGCCGTGACGTCCCCCTTCTCCGGCAGCTGAACTGTTCCCTACCGTCGGCGGCTTGTGTTCTCATCATCGTGGCGTTCGGCGACCCGGCGTACGCGTCTGCCTCCAACCTACCGGCTGTGGCCCTGCTCATCTTCCTGTACGGGTGAGTCTGAGTAGTTGTGAGTCACCGAATCGCAGTCACGCGCTGCGGCGCTGCTCAGTGCTCATCTGCCTATACGGGTGAGTATAGTTGTATCAGGCTGGCTCATCTTCCTGTACGGGTGAGTAGTTGTGAGTCACCAAATCACAGTCAGGCGCTGCTCATCTTTCTATACGGGTGAGTAGTTGTGAGACACCAAATCACAATCAGGCCCTGCTCATCTTTCTATACGGGTGAGTAGTTATGAGTCACCAAATCACAATTAGGCGCTGCTCATCTGCCTATACGGGTGAGTAGTTGTGAGTCACCAAATCACGTCAGGCGCTGCTCATCTCCCTATACGGATGAGTGACTCGAGTTAAAGGGACCCTCCCACCTTCAAAAAGGTTAATGAATTGGCATGAAAGTTATGTCCCTTGGTTCGGAAAGAGCGAAAACGAATATCTACCAAATTTCACCGAAAAATATTCACTGGTTTTCAAGATATTAGGCTTTTACTTTTGTTTACTTTTTGGGATCTCCCCTGTTGCTAGCGACTTTATTTGGAAGCAATAATTTGGCAGCCTTAAAGTGCGGCAGACGTTGCGCGCAAAGCAGCGTATACCACCACGTGTTAACGATGGTTTTAGTCTAAGATTTAAAAATCGTTAGATCTCCGCTGACGTCACAAATTCTAAGGGGGCATTCCAATGCATTAGCCCCTTAGAATCCGAAAACTGCAAGTTTGAAATTCCATATCTTCGAATTAAAGCATTTTTCGATGTTGTGAGTGCCCAAACCGGTATTTGCAGGCCATGGCCACCAATTTGGCTATCTCAGCTCAAAACTAATGTTAAGGTGGGAGTGTCCCTTTAACTGACCCTTGCTCAGGGCCGCTCATTCGACACACGTCCTTCCCCTGCGATGAGCGGTTATGGTTCACCACCACTACCCCCGCTTATGGCTGTGTGCTGGAGTAGATGAACGCACGACAAAAGCGCAGAATAGTAGATCACATGTGCGACTAGTTCTGCTATGTTTCGTAACCGTTTAGGAACATTTAAAAGACGCATGTTTATTTCGAAGACACCGTCATACCCACACCGATATCGTTATCATTGCCTGATCTGTAAATATAGCAGACAGTGCAAACACAATACACATGTGCTTAGAAAATCAGTTGAAGACTCCTCTTGCTGTGGCAAGAGCCAGCCTGCCATTGCGAAGAAATTCGGGTGGTACCCTACAAAAATCTGCCCTTATAAAATGTGTAGCAACTTCATTCCCTCCTGACGCAGGCTGTCATTCATTATACTGCGCAAAGCTAGGTTCACGCACACCTTGGTGGTGTAGATTATCCGACGATTATGGCGTGATTTCAAGGGTGATTTCATTCTTACCCAATATAAAAACACCCCTTTGGCTCTACGAAGCGCCGCGACCGCTCAGAATATGCTGAGGTCGACTTTGGGTATGCGGTAGGACTGGCAGTCGACCACGGGGTTCAGCAGTGGGATGGGCCTGATGAAGGCCAGCGGCTGGACGCTGTCGAAGCCGGCGCCCACGTTGTCACAGAGCAGGCGCGCCATGGAGGAGCGGCGCAGCTGCTGCAGCTGCTGCCAGCTGAAGCTGCCCGCCTGGCCGGCCTGGTCGTAGAAGAAGCGGTCGCCGTAGCGCAGCCGCAGGAACTGGTCAGCGATCACGCAGCGGGCGGTGGGGCCGACCATGGCTCCCGGCGCCCGCTTCTCGAGATTGATACCGGCGAACAGGTCGACGTCCCGCCAGTGGGCGTACACCTTCTTCAGCCGCAACACGTCCGCCCAGTCCATGAAGCTGAGGAAGCTGAACCAGCCGGTGATGCTGCGGGAGCCGCAGGCGGCAGCCACGGTGGCGTAGGTAGGCAGGGCGTGATCCCGGCCCCGCTGAATGTTAGCCGCCACCAGGTCCAACCCGAACGCTCCGAACTTGAACAGGTCGCCGCGCACGGCCTGTACAAACCGCCGGTCGAAGCTCTGAGGCCGCTGCTGGGTCATGCCGCGTGCCATGTTGGTGAACAGGCTCGTAATCACCAGCGAGTCGGGTCGGAAGTAGTTCTCGGTGAGTTTTAGCTGGCGCTGCAGCGTGCCGTGCTGGGTGACCAGGCTGATGACACCCTGCACCAGGGAGTGAAGACGGAAGGCCGCAGTGGAGAACTCGGTGCTGATGTCGGGCCGCAGGGCTGGCGTGTAGGTGTACCGGCCGAAGCCGCGCAGGCCGACGCTGTTGGCGTACTGGAATCCGACGATGGTGGGCAGCCACTCGCGGTAGACGATGTGCTGCCACTGGGCGATGTTGATGCGCCGCGCCTGCTGGTAGAGACGCTCGTCACTCCAGCTCGTGTGTCGCGCGGCCAGCGCCGCCGCCACCCGGTTGTGCTCGCGCACCAGCACCGTGTGTAGCAGCGTCAGCAGCGTGTTCTCGTTGGCACGCGTGTCGCCGGCCAGGAAACAGATGCCGCTGACACACTCGCCCGAGGGGGGCGGCTGGCGCGGCAGCAGGTTCCCTGTACTCGTCTTCAGCCGCCCGCCGGTACTGGTGCGCAGACCGCGCGCCTGCTGACCCTCCGAGCCGTACACCTGCGACAGATCCAACCAGGTGGTGATGTCGTTCAGCTGCGTGGCCGGCCGCGGTAGACACTGCGGGTCCGGCGCCGGGATGCTGCGTACGAAGTTGTGGCAGCGCACGTTCCAGGTCTGGTAGAACGGGTCGTTGGCGGCCACGGGGATGGGGAAACACTGCGGATGGAGCGGCTGGGCCGGGAACTGGTGGTTGGGCTCGCAGCACTCGATCGGGCTGGTCGAGCCGTATCCTCCGCTCCGGTGGAAGATGGGAGATATGGAGAGGTCGTGATCGGCGAACTGACCGAACACGGTCACTGCTGTGGTGAAGAGCTGGTGCTGCACGCTGCTGGAACTCATCACCTGGGCGCTGACCAGCCGGGCGCTCGGCAGCAGACCGCCAGCCGCAGAGTGGATCCGCGGCGAGTACACGCTGTCCCAGTAGGTGCTGTCGAAGAGACGGCGCAGACCGCGCAGCCGCCGGCCCCAGTGCGTCTGATACAGGTTGTTGCAGCTACCGTCGTAGGTACGGTGAGGAGTGCCGCTGTTGCAATTGAGCGGCTTCTCAGGTACGCAGACACCGACCGGCCCCTGGATGCTGAGTCCGGCCCGGGGCGCGCGGACATTACGGAAGTTAGTTGGACTGAATGAGGGCAATGTGGGGATGCCGATCCGACGCAGGCTGGAGGTCAGGAGCCGCGGCGGCCGGGTGACGCGTGGCGGCCGCGTGGTGCGCGGAGCCGCGGAGGCCGCTCTGGCCTGGACGCGCTGCAGGGTCCGCAGGGAGCGCGCCGCGCTGCGCTGTGCCTCTGGGGAAGTCCGCGCATTGAGGGCGTTCAGTCGTGTGGTCCCGCTGGGCTCCCGGGGAGACTGTCTGGCCCGGACAGAGAACAGGGCGGTCTGATCAGGAACGGCCGCACTGAACTGACCCGGCCTGCGCGACCTGGCCGTCTGCTGGGGCACCCTCTGGTCGGCCGAGTCCAGCGGGAACTTGGTGAGGAGTCGACGGGCGCCGGTCGGTAGCGAGCCCAAATCACCGCCGCTTGTGCTCACCGTGCGCGGGGCCTGGCTCAGGAACGTCTGGCTCGCGGTGCGGGACGGAGCGCGACGGGAGCCCTGCGCGGTCGCCGCCCGGGCCGCGGTGACTGCCTCCGTGGGACAGCAGACACCCTGGCGACCGCCGTCCAGCTTACAGAGCTCGGGCGACTCGGACACCACGGCCTCTGGACAGGCTGTGGGCTCCCGGCAGGTGCAGCCGAGGGCGGCACTAGCCAGCGCCAGAAGCACAGCAAGACGGAGCAGTGAGTGGCCCATCACGGCCTACACACGAGGTACTGGTGCGGACACTAGACGGAGAGACAGGCAAACAGACGGATGGGAAAGGTGTATGGACGGAGAATCGGGTGAACAGACGGAGAGACGAATCACGGATAGACAGGTAGACGAACAGACGGACGAGCCGGCCGTTTCGCTCCGTCCGAGAGGAGAGCTTCAGTGCGTCAACCGGCGGCGCCGGCGGTGCGTTGACCATTGACCAGTTACCAGTGCGGGGTCCCGGCGCCCCCGTGACCTTATCGATGTACGTCACAGCTTGCATAACGCCCACGGTGACGTGACAGGCCGCTGTTTGGAGGTTCCACTGGGGGCTCGGGGGAGGGGGCGGGAAAGGTTTAGCGGTGTCCTCTGGTCAGTGGGCGCTGATTTGACAGCCGCTTCAGGAGAATGGAGTTTTAGTTTTACGGTCCGATAAATTCACCGCGCAGATGATAATTACAGCTAGCGCTTGTTCTGTTTTCATTGTTCTTAGAACTCGATTGAAGTGTCAAAATGAAAGCTTTCTCAGGATATTAGATTGAAATTATTAGTTTTATTTTCGAGCATTTTGAGAGGATATAAATAGTTACATTTGTTCAGATATTTCGGTAGGTACTTGTAATTTCGTACTCGCACTCGTACCTTCGTCGGTGAGCTTCGTTACACGTGATTCTTCATTTGTCGCGTCTCGACTCCTCTGACCGAGCCTCACTCCGTCTTCTTCGTCATGTTCTGCAGGTGGTCGATGACGCCGCTAATGTACCCGGTGACGTTCGCGTTCCGGGAGCCGGCCAGCGCCTACATTGCCGTCGTCATCTTCAACCTGTTCGTGGGCGCCGCTGCGCTTCTCACGACATCCATGTTCGAGAGTCTGGACGATACGGAGGTGAGAGCACTGAGAGGACGGGGCGGGGCTGGGCGATATGTTTTGAAGGACTAGTGGATGTAAATACTACATCGGTGCTTTTTCATTTCAAAAGTTATTTTTTAAAAGAAATTTTGTCCGAATTGATGAATCGGTGGCTGTGAGTCCGGGTGTCCCGCTAAGCAGTGCCTGTTGCGAATGACACCTCGGTGTGTGAAATTGGTTTAAACGATTTCAAATATCATCCCACATCGCTCGCTGAGCCGGCTTTGTAACAGAAGCGCTATTACTCTGATTTTTGACGCTGCCAATTCGTAAATACATTATACTTGGATGTGTGTGTTTTACTCCTTATTTTTTTTTTTTCATCTCGTGCCATCCAATGCTAGTCTACTATGTGAGCTGTGGTCGGCGCCATCTCTTTCACCACTCGGTTCCTGATGATGACGGAGAATGCCTGTCCTTTCCTCTTCAGGTGGTGGACGTGCTGAAGAAGATATTCCTGGTGCTGCCCAACTACTGCATGGGCCGGGGTCTGCTGGAGATCGCCTACAACCAGTACCACAACGAGTTCCTCACCAAGACCGGTGAGCCGACTTCACTGCCGTAGGTAACCGATTCCTTCAAAAATGGCCAATTCGTGTGCTTCGGCGCATTATAACTATCTGTCGATATCCGATCATTGTATCTGTGTCGGTATTTGCAGGCAGCTACTCTCGGATGCTGTCCCCGCTCTCCGTGGCCCGCCGCTATCTGATCTCTGTATCTGTTTATGCAGGCAGCTACTCGCGGATGCTGTCCCCGCTGTCCGTGGCCCGCCGCTATCTGATCTCCATGGCTGCCATGGCGGCCGTCGGACTGGTGGTCACCCTCACCCTTCAGCTCCGGCCGTTTGCGAGGTAAATGTCATATTCTCGTATACCACTGGAGGTTGAGGGAGACTTTATCGTAATAAGCCGGGTTTGACCAACAATAAGCGCAACCAGTTTCTCATTCAGCCCCAGAGAAGCGACCCCGTGAATGAGTCGTAATGGACACATTCAAATGTCGTCTTACTTCATTCATTCATTCATTCATTCATTCATTCATTCATTCATTCATTCATTCATTCATTCGTCCTACGCTGCTACTTTATTGCGGAATAGTTAGTACCTTTTCCACGGATAACTCTTACGTTTCAATATTTTACAAAGAACAAACACAGGGCCTTAAAGACAAGGGCACTGAGCACTAAGCGTAAGGGCTGCTCAGTGATTAGTGCTCTTGCATTACGTGCTAGCTTTTGGCCGTGCTGCACCATAATGCGTGTTGACGTCTGGCTATGTTTCGTTTCGACTTTCTCCCAGGTTCCGTCCGTGCTGCTCTAAACCCGAGGACTATACTCGAGAGGACGGCCCCTCCCCGCGAGAGGACGAAGATGAGGACGTGGCCGCGGAGGGGCGCCGGGTGACCAGTGGCGCCGCCAGTGGCGATGTGCTGAAACTGGAGCGGCTGACTAAGGCGTACCGCGGCGCCGGCACGGCGGTGGACCGGCTCTGTGTCGGAGTGGCGCGAGGAGAGGTGAGAGGGGGAGGGCGAGACATATAAGAGGAGGGAAATTGATGTTACCGGTAGAGAGGAGCCCCGTGCTTATATTGCAAGTGAGATTTTAGTGAGGCGAGCAGACTTTCTTATACAGCGAACGAATAGCGATTCTTATACAAGAGTGTATTCCAAGCGTGCCATGAATCAGGGTAGGTAGATGGTTTGTATGGGAATGCAATTAATGATTGTGTTACTTTTTACGTCTGATGGGTATCGCCCGATATATAACCTTCATCGTTCCGTGGTATTGGTACCACGACAGTGTTTTTGCCAAGGTCACCACCACCAACCTTTATCTGAGTACGTTTTGTCCGTGTTGCAGTGTTTCGGCCTCCTGGGCGTTAACGGCGCCGGCAAGACATCCACATTCCGAATGCTGACGGGCGAGACGGCAGTGACATCGGGCGACGCGCTGGTAAAGCTGCAGCGCCGTTCGCCGCCGCTAGATGTCAGTGTGCGCTGGCGGCTGTCGGAGGCGCTCAGCGAGGTCGGCTACTGTCCGCAGCAGGACGCGCTGCACGGAGAGATGACGGTGGCCGAACACCTCCGCTACTACGCCAGGTGGGCTGCCGCTGAGGGGATGGGGCAATGTTCCCCACGGAATCACCCTGGGGACCTAAGATGCCTACCGTTCTCAGCGTTCTTTCACACATGACTCTGTCCCCTCTTGGCTCCGTAAGGTGACACCATCTTATGTTTCCTTATTCCCGTGGACTTCTCACCGTTCCGTGCTTCTATCCTCAGGATACAGAAATCCTTCTCCTCCACGCCGCAACCCCCCTCCGGGCTGGACAGGCAACTTTATCTCATGCGGGCTGCTCCCTTGGAGCGGCACCGCTGCTCCCGAGGGAGCGCACCCCGTAGCCGGGTGCAGTGAGTGCCTTGGGGCTGGGTGGCCTGTCCTCTGGACGGGCTCAGCCCCGGCGACTCACTAGGGTGCCTGCCCAGACCAATGTCTCCCCCTTTATCCTATCATCCTCCCGGCTCTGAAATGGTCTTGCCAGACCGAAAGGACCTAACCCAACAAAAAAAAAAAAAACGTGGGCTTCTGGCAAGAATACTTTATATTTTGTTTTCTTCTTCTGCATGGAAACAATTATTGGATCCTGACAGTGAGCGCGTTGCGATTCCTTTTCTCATTGGCGTTCCCCTCCCCTCGGCAGGATTCGCGGTGTGCCCCCGGCCTCCCTTCTGGTGGAAGTGGCCGGCCTGCTCACCCAGCTGGACTTGACCCGGTACGCCGACCGACCGGCGGACGCCCTCTCCGGCGGCAACAAACGCAAACTGAGCACGGCACTGGCGCTGGTCGGCGGCCCGCGGCTCCTGCTGCTGGTTAGTACCACTGTCTAGTGTGCGCTCTGGTAGCCAGTGCCGCTCTCTTCCCTTCGCTATTCATGGTTTCAGTCCCCCCCTCTCCTTTATCCCCGCCGTGGCTCGTGCTTCTGGTCAGTACAGCCATGGCGTTCAGTCAGATACGTGGCTTCTGCGACCTGTGTTGTCCCATCTTACATTGCATTGACTGGTTTATTGACTGGACTGGCTTATTATTTGTGGGTGCGTCATCTGTAAGTGTTTTGGCAGTTACTCCAATGTCCTTTGCAGCACTTATTGGCCTGACTCTGCTATCGCCGTACATGGTAGTCTCTGTTCAGTATGACTCATCATGCCTGTCCTCTGCCTTGTGTAAACGCCTGTTTACTATGTGATCCCTGTGTGACCGTCGTTCGCCGTTTTCTCCCCCGTGTCTTCTTCAACAGGACGAGCCGACGAGCGGAATGGACCCGGCGTCCCGCCGTTTCCTCTGGGACCTGGTGCGCCGCCTGGTGTCCTCCGGTCGCTCGGTCCTCCTCACCTCACACAGTATGGCCGAGTGTGAGACGCTCTGTACGCGCCTAGCGGTGATGGTAAACGGCCGGCTGCGCTGCCTGGGCAGCCCGCAGCACCTCAAACACCGGTTTGGGGACGGGTATACGGTGACCATACGATGCGGCGCCGGAGCTGACCCTTCCGCAGTTGATACGGAGCTGAAATGCAGACTGCCGCTCTCCAGACTGAAGGTGGGTGGAACTGGTACTGCAGGGTGGTCCCTGGGCTGTCCGGTGGCAGTTGGTTCTATAGTTCCGAGGTCACGTATGTGGCTCAGTGGAGAAGCGGCGGGGGGGGGGGGCAAAGTTGTGTGTAATTTGCTTTGCACATTTCCCGACCTTTGACTCTAACCTTTGTTTAAGTCATCGTGCGTGATAGCTCGGTCAGCCAGCTTGGTATATGTTCTGCCGTCGTCCGAGCCCTGACTCTTGCTGACCTGCGCTGACCCGACCTGACCTTCCACCCTCCGTGTGCCCAGGAGTGCCACCTGGACGTCTGGACGTACGAGGTCGGCGTGGGCTCGGCTGAGCTGCCTGACCTGCTGCGACAACTGGAGAGACTGGCGGCTGACTGCGACATCGACGACTGGTACATCTCGCAAAACACGCTCGATAGTGTAAGTAGGATATGAGAGGGAGAAAGTCTCAGCTCGGGCTGTATCATATCACAGTTGTGTTGGTAGATACCATATTAAACACCGTATCTTCAGAGAGAAATAATATTTGTACGTCCTGTGGAACCCTGCGTGGGCATGTTTCACATAGCACACTTGGCCCTCGCAGAAATGCTGGGAGTATTTCTGTGACACCCTGCTTTGTGCCAATTGATATAGGACCGCTCTCTGCTAGCTTATCTCTAATGGAGCAGGTAGAGAGTCATCCGACATACGACACGTATTTAGGCAAACCCCGTTTCTGTGTCTCTGTGTCCATCCCAGCCACGTTTTCGTCTCGACCTAAGTTCATACTTTCTGTTTGGTTTTCAGGTGTTTGTCAGTCTGGCTCGACACCAGAGCGAGTGTGTGCCAGAGAAGGGAGAGGCCGAAACGGAGCTGACGTATGTATGACGTCACCCGCCGGTCTCAGGTGTGACGTCACCTGCTGACCTATGTATGACGTCACCCGTCGTATGATCAGGTGTGACGTCACCTGCTGACCTACGTATGACCTCAAATATTGGCCAAATGTGACGTAATCTCTGCAGAGGACTGTATCTGGGATCTTCTGCCGCTGACCTGAGATCTTACTGACCAACCAACTGAGGAGAAAACAGAACGATATACCTACTGATCTGGTTCGCGCCTATCAGCAGCTACGGCTGCTTACTGACTGAGGCTGGCGTGATCGTGTTTCAAGAGAAAACTGCCGTGAAGTTACATCCCCTTTCTTTCAACGGAAGCCAGAACGGAGGGCCATGACTGGACCTCCGTTTAGTTCGCAGGTCCAGTTCAGCACTGTATACGATCTCCAGTTTAGGTTTGCCAGTTGCCAGTTCGGCTGTGGTAGGTCCGTTTGAATTCCAGTAGCAGTAGCGGTTCTTAGATGGATCGTCCGCCACTGACCAAGCGTGAGAAGATTCCGAAAAGTAATCGAACAGCCCACCTAGCCGTGTACCCACTCATTTACCATCATTTGCGTATGCAAACACACATTGCTGTGCTCGATTCACTGGCGATTGATGGATAGCTCAAGGGATAGCTTACCTACTTGTGTTATCCTACGGTTTAAATGTAAAATTCAAGGGGTCTGTGGGTGATCTGTGGGTGCACTACAGAGGGGTGTGATGCTGGTGTGTTTATCTTTAGTGTTTTGCGGTTTATGTCGCCGATTGTTTTCTATGTTATTTGCTATCCAATGCAGCCATCTTTCCACGTGTTTGTGTGTTTTTTTTAGGTGTTGGTGTCAGGTGTAGTGTATTCCGATCAATGTTGTAACATTCCCTCAAGCAGTTGGATGACAGTGTTTGGTAGTTATATTTCTGACACCACGTATGCAGTTGTCCTTCAATCAGTGTTCTATTGCATGCCGTTGTTCGGTGTACCAGTGTCTTTGAAGCATCGATAGCTGTCGGTGTCAGTGTCAAACCGATTTCAGCAGTACATACCTTCCCAATAGTCTCAGGAAATAGTCTCTTTTGTAGCAGCGTAGTGATGGTAGGGTTAGTCATGGTGATCATGTACGATATTCCAGATCAGTGATTGTACCAACGTATCCTAGTTGCTGTATAGTCGACCATTGGTGTAAACTCGCTGTGAAGACGGTCGCGTTAGCTAAATTTGTGGCACCGTACGTACCAACCCAATGCAGTGGTCAAGTTGGGAGTAGAACAGTAAGTCGCGGCCTCCTCCGGAAATGTTTCGGTTGCGACCTAAGATCACAATGACAGAGAGCCAGGAGATCCTCGCCAAAGAGCCAAGAGAACTACAAAAGTCACCAAAGAGCTGCGCTACGCTGTGGGGTTAGTTATGATTTGTACCGGGGTTCCAGATAGGCCATGTTTGTAGTGTGTTCAGTGGGAGGTGTTTTTGTGATATTTATCAGCACATACCTCATTACCGCGTCGATGTGCAAACCCTGTGATGTGTGTGCCACTTTGCGAATATATTTGTGTCCTGCACAGCTTTGGGTGTTTCTGTGAAAAGCGATGAAGTCCTAGCGCATTGGTGAGAGCTTGATGGACCACGTATATACGCATCGGGCGATACTGATCTCAGGCAGCTTTTGCCAAGTTGTCAGGGAACTCAGATTTGTTTTTCAATAGAAAAACACAATTCTAACGATAGTGTTTTAACTATTGACAACAAACCTTCGGTTATGAGCTCTAAACCTCTACTTCACATATCCGGACAACTATAGGAATTACCCGATCGGACCGTGCCGAAGTCGGGCCAGATCGGGCTTGAACAAATTGCTGGCTCTACTTAGCTACATATCAAGTCGTTCATTGGAAATATTCGGATAAAAGTTGAAAAATAAAAATATCCTAGGTCTGCTGTTTCATTTCAATGCATGCCATTCCAATGCAAATTAATGCGACCGTCCCAGTCGAAACTAGCCGGCTGGTAAACCCCAGTTCTCAAGATGGCGCGGCCCTCACCCTCCCCTCCCAGTTATCCCATGCTGACCGTCCGCTCCGCCGCCGCCGCCGCCTCCTCCTCCCTAGCTAGCCCATGCCATCGTCCCCCCCCCCCTCCCCCGTCTCCCTCAACTATCCCAAACTCCACGGCCGTCCGCGACTGCCTCTCCCTCCCCAACTATCCCATACCCACCGTGCGCGCCACGAAACCCTCCCCTCCCCAGCCTCCCTTCCCAGCGCGGTCACCTGTGCCCGATTACCGAGTCCCACCTGGCGCTCCGTGCCGTATTATCGAGTCACTCCGAGCGCCGGCGGCGTGGAGCCTCCAACCGTAACGGTGCGACCGGCCCCGGCCGGCCCGGTCTGCGCGGCGCGTCCGGCGAGCGACCTGTTTGTCAGTCGCTGAGGCCGGGCAGGGATAGAGCGGAGTGGTTCTGCGGCCAGTCTGCCGGCGCGTGGGAGTGGGCTGAACGGTTGGACTGTGAACTGAGAGCTGGAGCCGAGAGCTTTTCTATCGAGTTACAGCGGTGTGATAGCGGCCGACTGTAGGTGCTGAGTAAATTGAATCGACAACGCCCGCACCCCAGCCGCCGCCATGGGATCCGGCTCCAAGCAGGCGCTGGACTATTCGTCCGACTCGGCCGACAAGTATTCGGCGCGCTACCTGCGCAACAGCAAGGCGATCGGCGTGCTGTGGGCCGTGTTCACCGTGTGCTACGGCATCCTGAGCGTGGTGGTACTGGTGCAGCCGCAGTGGGTGGGAGACACGGCTGACTCGCCCGGCTCCGGGTACTTCGGCCTCTGGCGGCACTGCGTCTACTCCAGCGCACTGCAGGTGAGTACTGCTTCGGCATCTGGCGGCACTTCAGGTAGGTGCTACTTCGGCCTCTGGCGGCACTGCGTCTACTCCAGCGCGCTGCAGTTAGGTTACACTGTCTTCTCCAGCGCACTGCGTCTACTCCAGCGCACTACAGGTAGGTACGGTGGAGGCGACGATTGGTGGGTCTATAGGTGTCTATAGGTGTCTATTACTATACTCACTGTGTCTATAGGTATAGGTGGTTTTAAAAACGCAACTTGAGTCAATGCTCAATATTTTCTTTACGTATGCTCATGATGTATCAGCTATGATGCGATGTTCAAACGTGCTGGAAGGCAGAGTAGGTACCTGCTTCACGTATATGTAGCACAAATAAAATATGGCCGCCCTTGTGCAACCCACCGGCCTGCCAATTGGTTTCTATGCGTGTTGTCGGAGCGGTGAATTCTTCCGTTCGCTGCATTTTCACAGTCAATAATGGTTTTCCGGTGGCTTGTGACCCGCAGTCACGCACGTTTGTGTGCGGATGTGCCAGCAGTGCTCATCCGCTTCCAACCTTGCCAAAAGGACGGAACCAATGGATGCATGCCGGCTGATTTGGAACGCGAAAGGCCGCAGCGAGCCGTGAAAGCCGCCCGAACAACATTGCTGCCGATCGGGAAGCGGGTCACTGCCGGCCGGTTCTGGGGAGGGGTCGGGGTAGGTGGGGAGGGGAGGGGAGGGGTGGAGCGCTGGCTGCTGCAGCACTGACGTCCAAGGCCAGTGTTGTGCCGCGCGAACCGGGAGGCTGCAAAGTTGCCCCGTCCCGTGGCCGTGAGAGGCGGTTTATCGTGATCATCGGACGGGGCTGCACCCGAGGTCATCTAAAGATTGAGCTCACGACTGTGCAGGCGACGAAAAATCGCGTAAACACAATCTATTGGAGTAAACACAACTTTTAAACCTACAAGAATGCACCAATTCTTGCTTCGTGATGACCTATCCCGAAAGTCTGAACCTTTCCCGGCCGGTGGCCGTGGGGATCGTAGTTTTGGTGCCATACCCTTTCCTAATGGCTCGGAACGTGTTACTGAGAAAAACGTTAGCTTTTGGCATGCTTTTTATGCTTTGGTATAAAAAGATGAAATGGCGCCTGAGCATGAAGAACACGATAATGCAAAAATCGCGGCTCTACGACCATTTTAGGCGAAACTATTTGCTAAAAGCCGAACATGTAGGTACCTTGATTCACTTGACCTGATCTCAGAAGTCACCGGTCAGCCTGAGACCTTAACCCGCGACCTGGTGGGGGGGGGCTATTTTTTGCCCCCCCCCCCTCCAGACTTTTCGATATATCTCCAGAACCGCTGCGCCGATCGTCACCAAACTTTCAGTACCCTCCCGGACATCAATTTTACACATTGTGACCAAAAATTTTTCCAAAAGCTATGATAGGTTGGCCGGAAATGACGTCAGAGTGACGTCATGTTCTGCCGTTTTCGACCCAAAAAAGGGTTTCGCGGGAAGAGCTGTCAGGCCTATAGCTTTGCAAATACCGAAAAATGTTTAGGACATAAAAGCTGTAGAATTGACAGGGCTACAAAACTGCTATCTCGGATTTTTGAATTTTTTTGATTTTGACCCCCAAAAATCAAAAAATAGATTTTTGGGATAAAATAGTCAAAAAATCCAAAAAGTTTTTTGAATTTCGCAAAAACCGAAATATATGTGATAGTCCTTACCGCCTTCCATCGACATACCAAATTTTAGATTGATACCTCTTTTTTTGGCGAAGTTATAGCGAAAAAACTGTTCAAAATTGATGACGTCAAATTTTCAAACTCAATTTTTAGCAATTCTAGACCTCGTAGTGCAAAACAAAGACCACCATTAGACTCCCCGTGACGAGCTGCATCGAATCGATACCCATTTTATGCAAAAATATCAACTTTGAAATTTGACCTTTTTTGACCTGACCTTGACCTGACCTCAGGGGTGTAGGATCGCAAAATAGGTTGGGGGGGCTGAACCCCGGACGCCGCGCCGGTGGGGCGGCGACGAAAGGTGCTGAGCGGGGGGGGGGAGAAAAAAACCAGCAGTGGAAAAGGTGTTGAACGAGGGGGGAGGGAGCGTGGACCATGGTGGTGAAAAGCGGGTCTATGACTTGAGTGATGTGACTTATTCTCTGCCCCTGGATCCAAGTTCAGGCTTATAAAATAAGGCGTAGGTATTTATATTCCGGCTCAACGTTTTGCAACTGCACATTTATTCAGTGTATGTTCCCGCTCTTTTCAAATGCAAAGTGATGCCACTAAAACGGTATATGTATGCTCTTCTTATACTTAAGGCTGATGAGAGATTCAATTTCTTGATTGATTCAGTATTTATATTCCTATCCCCTATTTTGGCAAACTGTTTTAGGGGTTCCTTGGAGGTACCCCTGCAATTTCCTAAAATCTAGGTAGGTACTCATTTTTCACCAATCACCCACTTCATTTCGGAAGGGTCAAGTTTTTGTGTAAAGATTGTAGACTGTTTAATGGCTCCCTTTTGGCTGTTTCAGGGACCTCCTCGACTACTTCTAGGGCCACGATAGCGGTATCGACAAAGTAGGCGGATCGTGATCGGTAAAACAAGACAGTCACAGAACAATTTCTGTTGTAGTATTTCGCAAAACCCCCGCATTCTGCATATCATTGGAAGCATAATTTTGTTTTTAAAGTTGTAGGTCGTGTAGCCACACGAATACTCCCAAAATGCACGAAACAATTGCAGGCACGTACCTAGGATTTGGCCAAGGGGGGGGGGCGGAGGATCCGGGGGGGCTTCCTCTCTACAGGGCGCCTCCTCTCTACAGAGGGCAAGGGAGGATCTAGGCGAACGTTTTTGTGGGGGGGGGGGGGGGTTACAGGTCGGCCGACATGACGGGTCTGATGGATGAATTCTGACGACCGGGGGAGGGGAGCGAGTATGTCGAGATCAAAAGGCATTTCGTCTTCGTCGTTTCTATACGATGAAGCTTTATCGTTATAAGTCACTCGGCTCAGTAGTTTTAGTTAAATCCACCTATGCAAGTGCGTCGCCACGGATTTCTTACTGGGGGGAGGGGGGGGGGCGTATCGACCGACTTAAAAACATAGAAGTTGATATTGTTACCGCACTTTTAGCCTAATGCATTAGTAGCATACAGTAGCGACCTCTCTTATTGACCTGTTAACGAACCGGCGGCGCGAAGCGCTGCGAAAATTTGCAAAAAAAAACGTTTTTTTTTTAGAATGATGTTCCACTTTTCACAGGCAAATATTTGCCTGGAGTGGTAGGCTGTGCCGCATCACACGGGCTGAGTTCACAAATTATAACTTTGTCCTAATGCTCACAGTCGACAGGCGCATAATTGCGTGATAAACGGCACAACTAGCGCTCCAGTCAACTGATAGCTTCTGAGGAGTATATTGTATTGTATATTGTATTAGCGAAGCATTCCAATGATGGATTAGTGTCAGCTTCTAGTCAATGACAATAGTAAAAACATATAAAACACAAGCACACACACGCATACACATTGTACTAAAATACCAAAACGCTAGTCACATGTCGAGTTTAAAAGTCGTAAAAACTCTGCTCTAGTTCGAGAGCCGGTGGTGGCAGGCGGCAGGCGATTCCAGGACGAGGCCGCTCGGTACGACAAGGCCCGGCGCGACATAGACAGCCGGTAAGCCGGCAGCTCCAGCACACCGGCACACGTTGCCCGCGTTGAGCGCTGCGATACAGCGGCTCGCCGAGTGAATAGGGAGCGGATCGCCTCCGGAGCGCAAGGGTCACTCAGCGCCCTGAACACAGTGGAGCAGTCACGGTGGACGACAAGATCAGCAATGTCATGCCAGCCGAGGGCTCTCAACACCGGTGAAATATGTTCAGAAACCCGCGCTCCGGAGACGACCCTAGCACCAAAATTCAGGATCTTCTGCACCTTATGTAAATGACAGCGAGCGGCCCCGCCCCAGACGGAGAGGCAGTAAAGGATGTGGGGGAAACATGGCACTGGATAAGGAGCTTACGGGTCTCGGGGGTAAGATGATGGCGAATTTTATACAAACATAGAAGGATGGAATTGCACTTTTTGACAACATTTGAAATGTGCTTTTCCCAGGATAGGGTTGAGTCGACCGTCACTCCCAGCATCTTCACAAAAGGGGATGGTTGTAGTGTGTGACCGGATATGGTAAGGGAAAAGGATGAGGTTTTCTTGAGGTTCTGGCCAGTACCCACAAGAAGCAGGGTGGTCTTACTAGGATTCATTTTCAAGGAATTGGATGTGTAATAGGACTGGACAGCGAGCAAGGTGTCTTCCTGTTGTTTTTTAAGGACAGGTAAGTCAGTGGGAAGAGCGGAATCGAGGAGTTGGGTATCGTCTGCATAGGAAATGAGCCGTCCATGAGGAAGGTAGGAAGGTAGGTCATTTGTGAAGATGCTGAAGAGGATTGGGCCGACCAGGGAGCCCTGCGGAACGCCATGGGACATAGGAAGGGATAGGGAGCCGCCTCTCACCACCTGCCGCCGGCCACCGAGGTAACTCGCGAACCACCCGGGGTCAACACCGTACCAGCTCAACTTGGACAATAAAATACCATGGTCAACACTATCAAAGGCGCGACTGAGGTCCACCGACGTGATGGCAACAATGTGACCCTTGTCGACGCGGCGCGTCACCCACTCGACAGCGTCGGTGAGAGCATCCTCCGTTGAGTGATATCGGCGGTACGCATACTGAGATGGTGATAAAATAGAGGACGTATCAAGATAAGAAGCGAGCTGATTGCAAACCACCTTTTCACATACTTTCGATAACACTGGTAAAATTGATATAGGTCTAAAATTAACAGCGCTGTCACGGGAACCAAACTTATGAAGCGGCACGACAGAAGCAAGCTTCCAAGATGAGGGAAACGTACGTAAAGAAAATGAGGCATTGACTAGATGGAGAATGTGGGGTCCAATCACAGGAAAACACTGGCGAATACCAAACAGTGGTACAC